TTTAAAATTTGAAGTTACTCGATACTTCATGCTTTTATACCTCTTAGTTCTTAATATGCCCATGGCCAGAGGCAGTTAGGTTTCCCAGGGATGGATCTTGAAACAAGCCTTAAAAGAAACCTAAAGCTAGAGAAGTAGGAGTATGTGGGTGGAAAGTGATGGCCAAGTACTGCAAACACTGAAGGGAGTGTGACAAAGGCCAGATGTGCCTGTAGGCTGCAGCTAAAGGTGCCTGGGACATGCAGAGAGGCAGAAAGAAAACTGAAGACTCTCAAAGGCTCTTTGGGATTACATCTCCAGGATTCTGTGGAAGTAAAATCGAGTTGTTCTCTGACTTCCACAAGTGCACCGTGGCACACATCTGCCCACAAACATACACACAATTACAAATATAAGTAAATGTGCCGGGTATGGTGGCACATGCCTTTAATACCAGCACTTGGGAGACAGAGGCAGGGAGATCTCTAAGTTCCAGGCCAGCCTGGTTTACACAGCAAGTTCCAGGCCAGCTGGGGCTACAGGGAGACGGTGTCTCAAAAAGATCAAAAAAACAAAAAGAAACAAATGTAAATAAGTGTACTATAAATGCACACCATTTTCCTAAAGAATGGATGACACACAGGTAATCAAAAATGCCTTGTGGAAATATAATCTAGATGCCCAGGTTGTGGCTATAAAGGCACTATTCTGTGAGGGAGGCAATCAAGAGAAGCAAGTTGGTTTTTTTTTTTTTTTTGAGACAGGGTCTCCCTGTAGCCCCAGCTGACCTGAACACACTATGTAGCCCGGGCTGGCCTTGAACTCACAACGATCCGCCTGCCTCTGCCTTCTGAGTGCTGGGATTAAAGGCGTGCACCACCACGCCCGCCCAGCTTAAGAGAAGCAATTTTTTAATATGTTTTTTAAAAGTTTTTAATTTTATGTTTTGGCTGCGTGTATTTATGGATACCACATTTGTGCAGTGCCCACAAGGCCAGAAGAGGGTGTCAGAACCCCTGGAACTGGAGTTACAAGGTGGTTGTGAGCCACCATGTAGTTTCTGGGAACCCAATCCAGGCCCTCTGTAAAACCAAAAGTGCACTTAACCATTGAGCCATCACTCTAGCCCCTGAGAAGCAATATTTAAAGGTCATGTATTTGTAATCTCAGCATTCAGAGGCTGAGGCAGAAAGACTAGGGCAGCATGGGCTACACAGTGAGTTCCAAGCCAGTCTGTGCTACAGAGACCCTGTTTCAAAAAACAAAAACGGGACAAGAGAGATGGCTAAGTGGTTAAGATCACTTGCAGAGGACCTGATTCCCACCACCCACATGCTAGCTAACAACTGTCCACAACTCCAATTCCAGGGGATCTGACACCCTCTTCTGACCTCCATAGGCATTGCAAGACACAGGTGCAGTTACATACATGCAGGCAATATACTCATAAAAAATTAAATATTAAAAAAAAAATAGGACTCAGGATATAACTAAGGTAGTAAAGTGCTTACTTAGCATGATGAATCCCTGGATTTGATCCCCAGCACCACATAAAATCAGTATAGTGGTGCATATTTGTAATCCCAGCACTCGAGATACAGGCAGGATTATCAGAAATTCGAAGTTACTCTAGACAATATATTACTGTCTCAAGAAAACCACCACCATCACTACATCACAAGCATGTCACAGGTGATTATTCAGTTCATTCTCAAGTGGAACACTGAGGCCCCAGAGAATTACTATTTTTCTTCAGGTAACTAGTATGCCCCTACAAATGAGTACACAGCTCAGTGCAATGTACATTCCTGAGGATGAGCATTCACCACTGCTTTGTTTCCTCAAAGGGTTGCAATCACAGCCTAAGCATAGGGAATGCAGGAGCTAGGAGGTGGTGGAGAAATGACAGATGTGGAATGGACAGTTGCCCAAGGACACCTCTTCCCAAACAGGAATTTAGGAGTGTGATGTGCTATGCCTTTCCTTGTCCTGCCAACACACCTCGGTATGTTTTGGATTTATGCTGCTTCTCACCTGTTGGCCTCATTTGAGGATGGGGACGGATTTTATGGCTCTAAGCTTTTTATGTACTTAGGTGTATGAATGTGTATATGGAGGCCAGAGGTCAAATTTGGATTCACTTCCATCTTCTGGAGTCAGGCTAGGCTGGATGGCCAATGAACTTCAGGGATCCTCCTGTCATCCCTGCAAAACTCTCCCCAACTTCCTTCTACTCTGGTGTGGGGGTGACAGACATGTGCCAACATGTATAGGTTTTAAATAGATGCCGAGAATCCTCATGCTTGCAAAACAGGCAGTTTATCAACTAAGCCATCTCCCCAGTTCCTCCTGGCTCTAACTGCCAATCACCAGGCCTGGCACAAAATTCTTTGCATGCCAGAACCTTAGAGGCCCATTCACCCTATTACAAACTAAGGAAAACAAATTGTGATTTGAGGGCTGTAACTGAAATGGGAAGTTACTAGCTGGGGAATGGGCAGGATCAAAGGTCTTGAACCTGGGGGCAATCTTGAGGAAACACAGATCTGAAATACAGCAGAAATAGTCACAATACATGCATAAAAGTACGTTTTGTAAAACTTGGTTTTCTCCTATCACCTGGTATATTCACTTAAATACAAGTAAAATAAGTCATAGACTCTGAATGCCTATGTGTTGGCAGGCCCTAAAGGACACCTACTGCAGCCAAGAGTCCATTTTGCTGAAACACAGAAGGCTGCACACACAAGACACTTGCGGTGGAATCTGCCCTCATTCACCTTTAAAAAAAAAATTTAATTTTATGTATATTAGTGTACTGCCTCCATGTATGTGAGTGCACCCGTGTTGTGCAATGCCACGGAGGTCAGAAGAGGGCTTCGGATTCCCCTGGAACTGGAGTTAAGGATGGTTTGTAGCCGCCATGTGGGTACTGGGAATCGAACCCAGGTCCTCTGCCAGAGCAGTGTTCTTAACCACTGAGTCACCTCTCCAACCCCCCTACTTTTGAATTCTTGCATCTTTATGAGTAGTGTGAAAACAGGAAACAAAATTACATATACTTTAACAAGACTGTGATAATAGAGGGGGAAAATTAACAGAAAAACAGTAAGCAAACCTTAAACTAGAAAATATTATGTGATTTGTCTTGCCTAAGTGAGACAAGTGCTTGGAACTTATGCACAAGAGGCATACCAGATTAGTTACCACCAAACTCTACATTTACAACAAATGTTCTATCGTGCTCAGGGCCATGAGAATGGGGTGAACAGACAGGCTCAAAAGTGAGACACAAATTTCAGTCAGATTTGCTACTTCTAGTCACACTATGTAAGGTGTGTTCCAATATATCACAGGTATATTGTTCGGCAGGTATAGCTCCTAAACTTGGAAACAGGCTGTTGTTTGTTATCTGGCCTTGCATTAGAATCTATGAGAAAATCCTTTGCCAGTGTTAAAAAGATGAAAGTAATGATTTATGGGAAAACAAGACACAAATGCTAGGTATCATGTTTCTACATGAGGGACACACAGTTGTATAAGGCAGTACTACAGATTGCTACCTGTTGCATAGCTTTATACATTTTCCTAGGAGTCAAGGCTCAGTGGTGGTAAATACTTTACATTAAATCTTCACAGTCCAATACTTTTGGGGTCATGAAAAGCCAAATTAAGACCTCGTGAATCCTGTTCCTCCTCCACTTCACTTCCCCTTTTGGTTCTTACTAAAAGAGCTCCACCATTTTTCTCTAAATACCATCTTGAAACCCACACTGAAACCTGTTGGGCCTGGGTAGAAAGAGCAGCAATAACCTGGGCATGTCTCTAGGCAAGCCTTATTGACCTCTTACTGGAGAATGTTAGTTACACCTCAACCTAAGGAATATGATAAGAATTTGGGGAGGGGAGCTGTTTGGAAGGACAGTTGTCAATATACATGAACATAGCTGGTGAGTATGGTCTCCAGTAGCCCTTAAGCACCTGGCTATACAGACCGGGGTATATTCAGAACAGATTTTTCAGATGTGCATAGAAGTTTGCAATAACAAGTGGTTCAAGAGGTACTGACAGTAAAGGAAAAGGCTATTATCTACGTTTGTTCATTTCAGGAGGACCAGATGGCTATAAGGGTTTTGTTTTGGTTTTGCTTTAGTAGGTTTCTTTTTTCTTTTTTTGGTCTTTTTGAGACAGGGTCTCCCTATAGCCTCAACTAGCCTGGAGCTTGCTATGTAGACCAGGCTGGCCTTGAACTCATAGAGATCCACCTGCCTCTGCCTCCCAAGTGGGATTAAAGGTATGCACCACCACACCAGGCACAGCATGTTTATTTAATTACTCATGCATTGGAAAGCTCATAAATGTCCACAGGTGAGTTAATGAATGCTATGACAAGTGATTTCCTTAGCTAGTCACTGCTTCATCTAGAATACTAGAATACAGGAAGTTCAAAGATCAAGAGTTCACCTTTAATCCCAGCACTTGAGAGGCAGAGGCAGGTGGATCTCTGTGAGTTCAAGGCCAGCCTGGTCTACATAGTGAGTTCCAGGACAGCTGG